GCCGCCATATTCGTATATTTCGTTGACAGCGATGGCGATCTGGTCGTCGAGGGATAAGATGTTGCCTCTGGCTGAGATCTACAAGTTTATCGCCGATCGGTTCCCCTATTATCGCAAGGATACTCGCAGATGGCAGAACTCTCTCAGGCACAATTTGTCCTTCAACGACTGTTTCATCAAGGTACGTGGCTGTATCGAGTCGTGTGTTTGTTTCTGTTGCGTGGATTGCGCAGGCTGATGTAGCGTATTAATTCTTCTCACTGACCAGGTGTAGGTTTGTTTATTTTACCTTAAGCCGAATTTACACATTGGGCCAACGCGGCGGACGAAGGCTGCTTTCATCGAGTGTGGTGCAGATTCGGTTTGAAGAACTGGATTCGATAAATGAAATTTATGGAAAATGCGCGGAAGTGCAGTTATTTTCGACAGAGCGTAAATTGGTTAGAATATTAGAAATGGGAATTACAAGTCGCCAGAGGGCGACTGTTGCTTGCTTCGCGCGGGATATCGTGCACGACGAAGCTTCCCTTTAACAGTTAATACGCGATAAAACGACTGGCATCTATAAACGTCGATCATTATGGAGTAGCTCTGGTGTTTTTATTTGCGCGTAAATTCAGCAGAAACGTCGCGCTTCTTGATTAAGAGCCAATTACTTTGATTTCGTAGCTATCGAAACGACGCGTTCTTTTATTATAATAACAGGGTTGCGTACCTATTACGAGGAAGAAAAACAGTTTTCGATTTTTCTCGTGCAAAATCAACAAAAATGAAAAAGAGAAAGAGGAAGAAAGACGACAAGCGTCGACAAAGTGTGCCATGTTTTATAGAAGACACGTCGCAGACCCCATGGGATACGATGTCATATTAGCTAATTTCTCTTTCGCATTTTTTTTTTTTTTCTCATTTTTTTTTTTTTTTTTTTTTTTAGCAAGGAAACGCGTAAACACTTTGACTGCCACGCTGAAATCAAATGTTTCGCCGAGGACGCCACGGGAGTATTTTTATCATTCAAAGCATATAACGACAAAATAGTCATAAATTGATGATGTAAGACAACATTCTTCCCCAATGGACCGTTTATCTTATTGGCGCCTTGGTAACAGTTGATAGCGACATATCATAACAAGGCTTCGTTTATATCAACAAATCATTCGCTTTCGTTATTCTGTCGTGAGCAAAACGTGCAGAATATATTGCTGAAACGTGTGGAAGATATTAGTAAACAGTATTATGATTATTTTTATGATTTCGACGAAACATTCGGCTGAAATGGTAGAGGTCCGCAAGGAAAATTATGTCTGCGATAAACCTATGGTAGTGGTAGATTACAAGAGAGGAAAACGTGCTATAGACTTATCAGATCAAACGATAGCATATTCTACACCACGTAGAAGAACCCTCAAGTGGCATATAAAATTAGCTTTAGAGTTATTGTTAAATACATCAATTTCAAACGCCATGATACTCTCTAAACAAGCAACAAAAACAAAAATCCAGGTATCAGATTTTAGAACGGCACTGGCAATGCACCTTACACAGTGCCATTCATCAGAGCAGTCAAATATACTTATTCGACAAAGATTGTCACACGAAATGCAGAAGAAAGAAGGGCAAGCCTACCTGGCACGAAAATTTTGCAGAGAGTGGTATAAAAAAATGTTAAACAATTAGGATGAAAAATTGCTAAGAATCGGAGGAAAAAGGTGACCACCTATCGTCCAGATTGTATGGATGAGCCACATTTATGTTTAAAGTGTTTTAACACAGTGCACCGTTAGATGCAACATTTCTTCTCATTTTTTTATCCATGTTCTAATAAAAATGTTTAATCGTTCAATGGGGCGCTTTTCATTTCAAAGTATCTTCTATTTATCGGTTATATTCAAAATACCCTAACTGTCAATTTTCGTTCAATTTTTACAATTGTAAGAAGTGGAAGCGCTTCGGTCACCGATGACAACCGTGGCGTCACAGGAGAAACCGTGATGGGCCATATACAGGGTGGTCTGTACTGACGGTATAAGCGGACAGGAGGTGATTCTACGTGAAAAAAGAAGTCGAAAATATAGAATAAAATCTTTTTCTTTTTTTTTAATTTTTCCATCGAGACAACGATCCACAGTGAGATCCGTTATAACGAGACGCGATAAAGTGCGCGCGTACCGAGCGAACATTCAAAGTCGATTTTCTCGAAAACGAAGCCTCGAAGGAAAAATTGTTATTCTATATTTTCGACTTGTTTTTTCGCGTAGAATCACCCCCTGTCCGCTTGTACCACCAGTTACCAACCACTCTGTATGAGCCACGTGGCAGTCAAAGTGTTCAACAACGAAATAGATATTTACTTTGTTCCTATCTGCGTTACGCCTGTGATAAACAATTACGTCTCGAGTAAATACGCCAAATTCGAATGCAATTTTTCCTGTAGCTGTTGCTTTGATGCTTCACAGACGCGACAGCGTGATACGTACAGCGACAGTCGAGCAGACACTAACTTGTTTTCCCAGGCTCGCAAACAAAGCTACAACAAAACGCAACATATACAGTATACAGTTGTCTTTCTCCGATCGGAAAATATTACAAGCGTGGCGAATCCTTGCGCCTGTGTCGTCTAGTCGAACGTAAAAGGTTGTTGCTTCGAGCGGTAATAATTACGAATTTTAAGAAGAAAAAACAAAAGAAAGGACAATTCAAGGAAGACAGTGGTGGTAAGGCGAGGAAACCTTTGGCAAAGCAATTGTTTTCTGCCTGGTAACCGTGAGATCAAAGTGTAGATAAAAGAAGAGGAGACATGATTAATGGAACTTGATTCTCCTTTCCTAGTTCAAACGATTGTAACGCGAACGTACGGAAGTCGACTATTACAGTCTTCGTTTTTTTTTACTTAGACGACAGAAATATAAGCAAAAAAAAAAAAAAAAGAAAAATAGAACGCGACGTAAAGAAAAAAGAAGAGAATTATTTGAACTTGAAAAAGCTTTTTTGATTTTATTTTTTTAATTGAATTGATGAAAAAAAAGGGGAGAGAAACAGAGGAAAGAAAACGCGACCACGTGGAATAAAATACGTTTTACGAGATTTTGTTGGCGTAGGAAGATGCGATCGTGTTGCTAATTAGATGTTACAAATGAAACGACGTGTACACCAGACATTGCGTAGATCTGTATCTGACTACGCATCCGTTTTGTTCGCTCGCGTATTAAAAGATAACACACCGGCAATCTTGTCTTCTTCTTCGCGCTTTTTATCGCGCCAACAGCCCATTAAATTCCAAGGATACAGTTAACTATGATTAATGATTTAGGAAAAATGAGGAAGAAATCTCTTAAGGAAAATATTTCTTCGTTATTTATGTATTATTATATCGCTATACGAGAAAATATCGCATAAACGATCGTTTGAGATCTCCGTAATCTAATCGGCGGCAACATTCCTAAGCTTTCATTTTCCAAATCACGTACAACGTCTAATCCACTTTGGATCCGTTTTTCTACGTTCTTTCATACGTACCTGTGTACGTATATGTTCAAACATCGTATCTTACCCGTACATGTTGGACAAAACACTTTTTTTTTTTTATTGCAACACATTACCAATATCAAGCGACAGCAAACATTTCTACGGACGTTGCAGCATAATCTTCTTCGAAACATAGTATTGCCTTGGCGACTAAGTGATCGCGGATTTTATCAATACCACCTACTGACAAAACCCGCAATCACTTAGTTACCGACCCAATAGATACTTACGTGGTATGTTGAAACAAAAGCCGAGCGACATTTACCGATCGACAAACGATTCTGTTAAACACTTTATCGACCGCTAACGATTCAACAACATACGCACGTCCGACCGGCATCTCAGGCGCGGATTCTCCCTGGCGCCGGCTCTGTTTCGGTTCAGACTCTCCGATACCATTCTTTTCGTTCATCGCGAACGGTACGTTTTTCATATTGGTATAAAACTGTGTGGGGCTTACAATGCAACGCAATTGAAGCAACCGAGCAAGGTACCTTAGTACTAAATAACAAATTACTGCTCAAATAACGGGAAAGATTGTCGACGACAAAAAGCCGATTAATCGGCTATCGGTCGGTAATCGTCGACGATAAAAAGCCGATTAATAGGCTAGTGTGTCAATGTCTACTGGATAAACTCTGAGTTATGATAGCTCTTTCCCCTAATTACCTTATCCTATGGGGTATTTTCTATTGAAAGAAAAGGAAAAAAATGAACAGATGAGATTGGCGAAACGATTATGATCTCAGGTAGAATTAAACTACAATTATCGACAGATTAAATGGACAATTGTGAAATAATATTTTCTTGCCAAACTTCTAGTAGACTACCAACCTTCGACCATCGCTCTGCTCTTTGTTAACTCCGCTGCGTTTTCACTCATTTTCCACCCAATGGTATCCTCGTAAGGTTGAAAAATATTTGAGATTCGAACGAGGAAAGGTCGTTGCCAGTATATAGCTCGTCCCAATTCTACGGCAAATATTTTCCTCAAACGCCGCGAACTCTTCTCGTTGCCGAGCCGAGAGGAAAATTAATGAAAATGAAAATTCGTTGAAGAAACTTGGTCGCACGTATCGAATGTAATTGCAACACGAGGTTTGTGCATGGCGCGATCCTCTGAAGCCAGAACTATCGAACGAATCACGGAAGCAACCGAAAAACGAAGACGAGGAACGAAGAAGGAAGAGCAAAAGGAAGCAGTGGATCCTGGACATTAACTCGATCGTGTTTCTCAGCGATTTGGGTCGAGGCAGGTGCGAAACAGATGGTCGAGAGAAATATAACAGAAACGAAGAGGGAGACTTGTCCTACAACGTTATTTAACACGGCCTCAACACACAGCGACAAAAATAAAAAGAAGATCGGCTCGTTTTATCTCGGCGAATTCGAACGATCGTTTTCCGCCTTCCGATCGTTCTTCAGAGATTTCGTTAATGAGAATTCGTCATCTAAACGGTCAATTTCGCCAGACCTTTTTTCTATTTCTTGTAGAGTAGAAGCTACATGGGTCGTAAGATCGGGATTCTTCTTCTACCACGGACTAATCGCGTTAGTTTTCTGACGAGCTGTTTTATAATAGGCAATAGATTTACATATTTTGTATCGATAGTTTATCGAATCAGTCGCTCAACTTCTTTGCTTGCGCTCGTAAAATAA